AGCGATGGAAAAGATGGATTTTTCATTTCATTCCTATAGTTTTCTGTTTGGTCTGGCCACCAGTATTTTACTTCATCGTAGTAGTGATCAATCCATGGTGCACAAATGTATGGGATTATAATCGACTTCTATGTGGTTTTCCATGTTATTATGAAGACGCGGCTTTAAGTGAATTTGCTTTTCTCTTCAATATTATCCTACCCATTGTAATCATTATATTGGCCAATATAACGTTAGTTATTCGAGTGATCTATCAAAAGATGTCTCGACAACAAGGAGTCAATTGGCGACGTCATCGTAGAATGGTATTACAACTATGGGTAATGTCATCACTTCATTTGGGACTTTGGTTACCATTGGTAAGTACAACACTTATTGAAACGACTGTACAACCGTCATTTATGATCAATCAATTGGAAACAATGCGATTTGCTCCGTATTTCATTCCACTTTTTTTTGCCAATGATATGTCTTAGCTCACAACCAGAATTAGTAAGCAAAATGAAGAATCTTATTCGGATTCGACGAATGAACAGAGTTAGCGCTGTAACTTAAAATCCAAACGTAGGACGACTGTTGACTATTCCTGCTGCTCAATGACGTTTATTAGTGACTTGCATATCAATTGTACATTCTCTCTTCTATTTGGAGTCTAACGATAATGTTCAACATTAACTTCACCCAAAACCATGTTTGTATAGTTCTATGTCGTTCTGTTCGTACAAATGATCGTAAATGTCTCAATGTTATCTATGTATTCGATTTTTTGTTTTTGCTTTAGTGATCAATATAGTCTGTTTCTGTGCATGTGTCCTAAAAAAAATTAAATTAAGCGCCAAAAAGCACTTATAATATATCTAACCACTCAGAACAGTGTTAAACTTTCTGAATCACAATCGATTACACTCAAAATACTCCCGAGTTTGATGAAAAACATTAATTGTAAAAAAAGGAATTTTTCAACGTATGAAACATATGAATCTGTGAGGAAACTATGTGAAAAGAAGCAAACTAATTTTTAAGTTAAAACGAGTATCTTCTTTAATCAAAGATTTGAAAGAAACATTTCTCATTTTTTCATTCACTATTTATGTAAAGCTCAACTTGGATTTTTCAGTTAAAGCCAAACAACAAATATTAGTTATTCTTTTTTTTTCCATCTGACATTGTTTTGACGACTAACAAATGACAATTTTTGTACAACAACTAACATTTATTTCTGTTATATTTTGTTTACAGTTTGTTGATAACAATCATAATACGAGAAAAAAAATTAATTGTTTTCAGTGTTTAACAAATAAAGAACGAAAGAGAGAAGCAAATAAACATATCGATTTGCTTTTATATTCGAAAAAAGCCAAGTAATCTTTTTGTGACGGACATTTACAGCGAATAAGAAATTTCATTCATCTTTTAAAAAGTAATAACATGCCATTTTTTTAAAAACATATTCTGTTTTAACCGACATGCATGAGATAATAATTGATATGTGGTGATATTCATATCTGATTTGTTCTCAATCAAAATTCGATAGTTTTTTTAAATATATTTTAAAAGAAACATCAGTTAAGTCGAATAAAACTATCAACATAAAATAATTATTTGTCATAAAATGCAACTAATATTTTAATATAGGTTTTAGAAATTTCTGAATATTGATAATATTAATCGAAACAAAATAAATAGTCTGATTGTTTTGATTAAAAAAGAGCGATTTGGTATTTGTAATCTACGGATTGATGCATCAACATTACGTCTCTATTTGGCAATACATAAGAAAAACTAAAGAAACTACGGAAGAAAAGAATCGACTCGCATATATTTAGTTGGTTTGTATTTGATCAAACAGAACAACAAAAGATTTCATCGAAAAAATTCAAAGCGACTGATGGTTAAATATTTTTACTTTCTATATGGTATTTTCTTACAGGCAGCGTTTCTGTTGAATATTAATAAATAAATTCTAACGTATCTCAACCAGACTGTACAAAAGTGATATTTAATTTCGATGAAGTTTCTAGGGTTTGTGGAGTTTTTGATTTTAAGCATTTCGTTTTTACGAAGATAGACCTAAAATATTTTGATCAATGAAATGTTGAAACTGAAGCTTTTTGGAATATTTTGATCGATGGCTTCTGGTAGTTTTCTCTATCAAAAAAAGTCGAAAATGAAACCTCAGATTATATTTGAAATCCTCATGAAAAGGCGCATCGAATCAACCTAAACTTGATTTGAACTCCGAAAAAAAATGCGCTTCATATAAAGAATGAGTGTTCACTAACTTCGTGAAAAACAGAGCTTATCATTATTTCAAAAAGTCCAATTACACGATATGTGAGCCTAATATATTCGATAGAATTTCACTTGCTCTACAACTGTAGTATTGCAGAACTCTCAGCTTTGTTGATTCAGCGTGAGAGTGTGTGTTTAAGATTCTCTTCTAGTAGCTCAGGTTCTCGTCTACACCCATTCTCTGCCACTCAAATTCTTACTGTTGAGAGTGGCTATGCAACAAATATCACATGCACACTGATCCATTGAGGGCGTGGATGTGAGTACTAGGTGAACGCAGTATCCATACCCACACCCACCTTTAATTGAGATGCTACATAAAAACAAAATTCTATCAAAATAATTTCTCATTATTTGTCGGAAACAATCTCCACCGGCACCGTTTTTTAATCGCTTAAGACAACGTTTTGCACAAAGAGATAGGTCTTCGAAAATGCCTAAATAACTCATCAGGAAATAGTTTCATCTAAACAAATACTTCTTATGTTGTTGTTTATTAAATTCTTCGTTCAACAAACGGCATTATGGATCTCAATAATCTTCATTTGTATTAGTAGAAAGAAAGATAAATTTTGATGCAGTGTAAATAAACATCATTTATATGATAAATAATAATTGTAGAATTTTCGAACGTAGTTTATCACATATCAAGCAGTTATACTTATTTGAGTTTTTTAAGCAACATACATGATTATATACTCTTCATCTGTTACTGTCTTTTGGAATTTGATCTCATCAATTTATATTAATTATCAAGATTACATTAAAATGATTAAAAATCAAAGTTTATGATGTTACTTCAACTGATATATTATCAGAAGTTGTTATTCATTTCTCGATTGATGGTATTCTTAATGACTGTTATGCTATCGGACAAGATCAAAAATTTTACAATTATTATTATTGTTATTAAAAATTTATTTTTGTTTCTACTAAAATAATTTATTTTTCTCGAATACACTTCTTCGTTTGTATGCTATAGTGCATTGATGTTGTTTTTCAGCGATATCAACTAAAGAAATGAAATGTAAATAATATATAATTAGAAGGAATTTCATTGACGTCAGTAATCAGAGCTTGAAGAAGCTAAATCTCCACAGTATATGACTGTCTAGCAAAGAAAGAAACTATAATTATCCTGCAAATTACATAAATGACATATATCAAACATAGAGAAATAGAAAATGAAAATGTTAACTTCAAAATTTAAGGTTAGCTATTTATAACACGTAAAGTCTTCCCTTTGCTGTCAAGATTAAAGTGTTTTAAATCAGAAATGACTAGAGATGAAATAGAAAAAAAAAGTGATTATGAACATAATAATTAGTGAAAGTGTATGTTTTGGAATTAAGAAAAATACGTCAATGACATTTAAATATATATATATATATTAATAAATAAACTTAAAATGTATGTGCACTACATTTTTCTTTCTTATCTTCAATAAGAAAAGAGCATTTAGCATAATATTTATCTCTTTGCTCATTACTTTCTAAAACCATCATGGAATTCAGAAGTAGATTTATTCTCATGCTTGCTTTGGAAATTCCAGCAATCTTTGTATCAGTTATCGTGTTTGTTTACTTTGCTTTGAATCGTCCGGTTAGTGCACAACTCAAAAATCATGGGTGGATTATCCTATTCATCGTTAATTTTTTGCAATTGACTTTACATCTGCCGATGCCAATGAGTTATTATTATTTGAACTACGTTTCGCCAGCAACAAATGGATACTGTGTATGGTGGACATATTGTGAATACTCACTGAGTACCGCCGGATTATTTTTAAACGCATGGATCTCTATCGAACGACATTTAATCATTTTTCATGCACATCAAGTATTTGATAAG